AGGGAGGTTATTACTTTTTGCTGTAGGAAAAGAATTTTCGGTATTTGAGACACATCAAAGTATCTAAATATTACGAAACAAGAAAGTTATATAAACTTTCAACCGCATACAGTTCTCAGCAGAGATCAAAATAAAAGATTTACATGTGCCGAGGAAGTAATCTTTTCAGCTATATAGCTATATCAATAAGAACAAGATTTTCGAAATAAACAATATCTACTGGCTGATGTACTTCTTATTCAATAAATATATAAACATAAAAATCATAAGTTCATGTAATGAATTTAAATTATTTATAATCAATCCATTAAAGAACCTAAACTACGTAGCTCCATGTTAAAACCTATCTAAATTAGCAATTTCTAAGGAAATATTTATATTAGATTCTGAATATATGTCAAAAAGATATTATTGGCAATGTTTTACGCATTTTTCTCATCAGAAAGAGGAAAATATTAAATAACTTGTAATATTTTGTTTAAAAAACATGTTCAATGGTTACTATTTAGAAAAAAGCGGTATAATTAGTGTGTTTTGATTGTTCTAATTTCTTCTTTGCATCGACTCACATAGTTCTGAATTTCTGAAATGTTGGCCGATACCACCAACACATGAAAGGAGGAAAGACGAGAATCGCAATCGAAAACAAAATCAATGATGCAATGTATACGATAAAATCATAGCCATACAGTTGAGTCGTCTCTTGTAACTCTTGCGCTGCTAACACAATACTAGTGATCGAAAGAATCAGGCAGTCCATAATAAAATAAAGAGTAGCACAGAATAGACTCCAAACAAGAAGAATAGTTATACGAGGAACACGACCCGGTTCATATTCATATTTAGATCTTGTTGTTGACTCCAATGCAGGACTCAAAGCAATACCTGGAAAATAAAAGGTTAGTAGAATAAGAATCTCGTAAAATGTATGATGGAATCTTGAATTGTCCTTGAGAAAGAGGAATAGTATCGAAAATGCATTGAAAATCGAGTACATAATTATACAAATGCCAACATAGTTATTTGATTTTGACCCCATGCTGATTTTCCAAAGACACCAAGATCCTCTTTCTTTCCGGTCGAACAATACTCGAGAAGCATATGAATGATGATCAAAAGAAATTCTACACCGAATAAAATGAGTGCCACAAGAATGACTTTAATTGAATGTTTTAGAAGAAAGAGATCGGCTAATAGTTCGCCAAACTCGATGGAAATTTTGACCAGTGCGTCGATTCCTTGGTCCTCTCATGGACCCTCTCTTAATATATCAAACGAAACTTCTTCAAGAATAAAAAAATATTATTTTTTATCAAAAAACAATGTTTATTCTTTTTATTAAAAATTTTTTAAAACAAATTTTTTATTATAATTCAACATCTTTAAGAGCTGAATGAAGAATTTCAGTGCCATGTTGTTTTCGAAATTCTTGTAGAAAGCTAAACAAAAGATGATTAAATGTAAATACCTATTGAATTCTATATATCTAAACCTATACCTTTCATCAGCTTTAACCATTTTAGTAATAAAAATAGCTACATTTTTTCTTGCTACTTTACTTAACCATGATTCTTCAACTAATTTTAACATTTGATCAATAGTTTTTTCTATTCCTGGATTATTTCGTAAAAATATACGTGCTGATGAATGAATAATAATATGTCCAAATACTAATGAACTATTACCAATAAGTAACGAATTTTGACTTTTTATTAATTGTTCATAAATAAGAGATAAAACTAAAAGAATAAATAATAAAACTTGTTCATGTAATTAAATACATTTTGATTTGTTGTCTTAGACAGTAAAAAAAATCTAACAAAATATGCTAAATTCATAGCATTGATCGAACTAATCTTCTAAATCGAAAATCTTACGTTTATTATCATTAGCAACAGCTTGTTGTCCTTGTACATTCGATTGTGTACATAATGCTAAAAGTCGAACACCAGCTCGAATTTTTTCTTCATTAGCATTCTAAAAAGAATAGAATACATTCAATACAATGATTTTATTATGTTAAT